AAAACATCGTTAATTTTAAGCACAATTTGTGGAACGCAAAAAGGACATCTTATGTACGTTTGTTCGCTTGCTTGCCTTTGCGTTTTTTTGTTCCGCTCCAGCATTGTTGTCTTAAAGTAAACAAAACAAAAAAGCTTGCAGACAGGCAGATGTTTATTATTTAAATGCTAGCCTCGTTTTGTCCATTTCACAGTTTTGGACAATATTTGCAAATTGGGAATAGTCTTTGAGATTTGCCTTGAGAACAACTTAAAGAAATTGTCAAGTGCCTTCCCCGCAAGGATGGAAAAATTTTAAATTTGAGAGTAAATTAATAAACACAACAACATGAGCTTATGTTTGGTTATTTACTTTGGAATATTATAAACATGTTTATTCAGTTCACTGGAACTCCATTGAAACAATTGCTACCATACTGAAAAATTAAGCTCAATCATGACTGACAGAAATGTCAGAGTTCTTTGCATTTCCATGGTTATTACTAGCAAATGCCAACAACATCGTTGGCGTAAGATTTTAATTAAAAATTAATGAAACACTATTTTTGTTACCATTTCAACTCTATAACAGGTAGCAATTATTACCCTCCACCATTTGGAAAGAATTTGGAAAATTTAAAAAATATAAGTGGAAAAAAATGCATCGAAAGTTATCCAAATATGGAAAGTCGAGTGGTCGAGGGCCGTAGGCCTGTGTTGTCTATTATCTACCAGAGAAGGTCTATTGCGAACATAAAATACAGGGTTGCCTATATTCGACGGACCCATCCGGCAACGCCATAACTTTTGACAGAGATGTTACATCGCTAATGACATACAGCGTTTGAAGCGTCAGTCCAAGCAGATTTTTACCATGAACCAATACACGCCACGCGAAATTGTTGAAATTTACATTCAACAGAAGAAGTCAATTGTGAAAACTCAACGTGCTTTTAAAACATTAAAAAATGTGAGAAGTGCGCCTTTTAAGAACACCATTAAGCGTTTATACGAAAAATTTTCGACTGGTAAGGCTCTTTCCTCTCCGAAGAGGCCATATAAAAGTCGACCAAGGCGATTGGCCGAGAATATCGCTGCAGTACGAGCCAGTGTTGAGAGGTCCCCAAGATCATCCCAAAAACGCCGTTCTCAGCAGTTGGGCATGGCTCGGTCCACTTTACAACGGATTATTCGCATTGATTTGCATTTGTTCCCGTACAAAATTCAATTGACGCAAAGAATGTTGCCTGCGGACAAGCCTCGTCGATTGGAATGGGCCCAAAAAAACATGGGTCCGTCGAATATGGGCAACCCTGTACTAACTTTGCAATAATTTGGTTGAAAAATTTAGCTAAAATCAGAAAAATACCGAATAATGGAAGGTACAATTATGCCCCATATAATTGTACCTTCCGAAAAGATATGGACCGTAGGGTCATATAGTTAATTTGCTGTCAGACAGCAAATATTACCTATTATCAACTACCAACTTTAAAAACAAGCCGGTCAAAATGTAAGTAAAGTCGTGAAATACCGTTTATCGTGAGATACAGCTATTTGGGGGCTATACGATGACGTGGACCTGTTAAGGTAATTTTCCTCACTAAGAGTTAGTGCCCATTATAAACTCCCAATACAAAAGTTTAAACAATTCCAGAGAAAAATGTTCTACAAATTATAAAAATAACAAATATTTTGAGGTACCAAATATTTTGAGGCCTGTTTATTTCTCCGCAAGAATGCTACTAAAAATACTGGGAACAAAGACCTCTAATTATCAGCAAATTATGTTTGAAAACACCTTAAACTTGCCGGTACAGTTATACTGAGGCTATACGAAAATGTGGATATCTCTAACCCATTTGCAGTACCAACATGTCAACAAAAGTAGTTAAGTACAACCAGACCTCCACCATTTTGAAAGTATAGATGGGAGCTACATAAAAAAGTTGACCTGTATATAAATTATTCTGCTACAGGAGTAAACCCTTTCCGACATCCAAACACCGAATTTAAAGTAAATCCAATATTTTGCACGCCATAAATTTTAAAATAAATTTTAATTTTATTAAATAAATTAAATAAATTTTAATTTTATTGAATAAAAGCAAAAAATGTCGGAAATAGCATCAAATTTTAGAATAAGTTTAGATTTTTTTGAATTGATCACCATTGGCATGAATTATGGCCTTCAAACGGCCAATGAAACCGTCACACGCTGCCCGAATGTTGCTCTGCAGTATTTTGACCCATTCCCGGCGAATCCCTTGCTTGAGGAGATCGATACTTTGGTATTTTTTTAGTGCCAACCTTGCTTTCCAAAATACTCCAGACACAATAGTCCAACGGATTGGCATCAGAAGATTTTGAAGAATGAAAGCGAGGAACCTCATCTTGTAACCATTCTTGGGTGGCGTGCTGAGTGCGATGGTGCTGAGTCCTGTTGGAATGTCCAAGGTCTGCGGTCAAAAAGTTTGCGTGTCCAAGGCTTTAATACACCCTCCAGAATATTTTCGCGATAATATTCGGCATTTTTTCTGAAAACACGGTCGATTAATATGAGCGGAGAACGACCCGATGCCAAGTAAACACGTTTGTTTTCAAACTGCTGGACAACGAATATTTTCTCATCGGAGAAAACCAATTTCGGCAGATCACCACTTTCGGCCAATCGAAGCAACTCTATTTTCTTTCTGCTGCGGTATAAGTTGTTACACTTTTTGGAATTTCAATGGCTTTACCCCGAGCTAATCTTTCAATATGTGCCGAATGGATTATTGCGATATCTGGAGCTCACGAGCCATTTTTCGGCCACTGCGACGCGGGTTTCAATTAAGTCGTTTCTTTATTTTTCCAACTATTTCTGCTGATGTTGCTGTTTTTTCCGTCCACTTCCGTGACGTCGGTCTACGCTACCAGTTTCACGTTAACGAGCGATGGTACGATACACATAAGATTTATTCACATTTAAATGCTGGAGTGCTCTAACGATAGCCACTTGTGGTTTTCCAGCCAAATATAAATAAATCACACTATCACGCTTGAATTCCATCACGAAAAAAAAAAATTTTTCTGGAAAATCCTCACCCAAATGCTTTTGTACAATATAATGAACTGTCACTGGAATAATTTTAACAGATGTCGGACGAGTGGTATAGAAATTACAGCAGTCTATAGTTGGTTACATTTTTATACCATCCACCATACTATGGAGGGTATATTAACTTTGTCATTCCGTTTGTAACTCTTCGAAATACTCATATCAGACCCAACAAAGTATATATATTCTTGATCAGCGTAAAATTCTAAGTCGATTAAGCGATGTCCGTCTGTCTGTCCGTCTGTCTGTTGTAATCACGCTATTTTTCGAATGAATTCAGATAGATGGCTAAAATTTTGCACACATGTTTATTTTTCCAGTAGGCAGGTTAAGTTCGTAAATGGGCCATGTAGGTCCACGTTTTCATATAGCCCCATACAACGGTACCTCCCTATATTCGGTATTTTGATGATTTTAGCGACATTATTCACGGGAATTGTTTCAAATTTGGCAGTTGAAGTTCAAAATGGATACTACACCCTAACACGGAAAATTGTCTGTGCAGGTCCACGTCTTCCTCCCGATATTCGGTATTTTGATGATTTTAGCGACATTATTCATGGGAATTGTTTCAAATTTGGTATTTGAAGTTCAAAATGGATACTACACCCTAAGACAGAAAATTTTCTGTGCAGGTCCACGTCTTCATATAGCCCCCATATAAGGGTACCTCCCTATATTCGGTATTTTGATGATTTTAGCAACATTATTCACCGGAATTGTTTCAAAATTGGTATTTGAAGTTCGTTATGGGAACTACAGTCTGTGACAGAAAATTGTCTGTGCGGGTCCAGGTCTTCGTATAGGCCCCATATATCAGTACCTCCCTATATTCGGTATTTTGACGATTTTAGGTACAATACCCACCGAAATTGTTTGAGATGTGGTATTTGAAGTTCGTAATGGATGCTACAGCCTGTTACAGAAAATTGTCTATGCTGGTCCAGGTCTTCGCACAGCTCCGATATAACGGCACCTCCTTATATACGATATTTTGATGATTTTAGCTACAATATTCACTGTTTATTCCAAGTTTCGAATTTGAATATGGTAATGGCTTATGACAAACAATGCCTATGTATGTCCACGTCGTATAGACCCCAATATAACGGCTATATTCGGTACTTTTAAAATTTTAACAGAATTTTTAAGGATTTTATTTTTTAAAAATTTCCAAATTCGTTGCAAATGGTGGAGGGTATTAAAAGTTCGGCCCGGCCGAACTTACTGCTTTTTAACTTGTTTTCATCTCGCTATATCTCATCTTTAGAGGAGATATTGTGTTGGACAAAAAATATCTGGATAGGCGAAATATCAAAATAATCGGGCTTTTATATAAAAGTTGTATTTTTTCCAAAATTTTAGCCCTTTGTGGGGTAGGTATTTTCACACATGACCAAGTACTAATGCAAATATTAGGATTTAAATTTGCACAAAATCGGATGAAAATTTTGAGGTTTTATGGGGGAGGTACCAGAAGGAGTGGAACTCGATCTAAATTTAATAATAATCATACAATATACCATGTTTGGGCCAAATCGAATACTCCTTTCGAGAGTTATCGTGAGCACCAACCAGCCAGACAGACAAACGGACAAGTCTAGATCGTTTCCAAATGTCCTGAAACGGATTTGGTTCAAAAAGGCCTAGGTTCTAACGCCGTTATTTCAATGAATCACGTTTTGGTCGTTTGTTTACCCTCTGTAGCCACCTGGCTGAGCGTATGAAAAGGAAAATCGCAGCTTTAATATGACTCAATTACCTATAAGGTTAGGTACAAGGGTCTTCTATTTTTAGCTCTACTATCATAAAGTACAGAATTTTTCTTTAATATTTTCTGTGTTGCAAAGTATTACCTTTTTGCTTATTAAAAAAAAATTTCAATAAATTTCTAATAAATATTTTCTACTCTTCTTTTCCAGGTGACATCATGGACATTATGGCACTCATCAACTCCAGCATAAACTTCATTCTTTACTGTTCCATGAGTCGACAATTTCGTACAACATTCACGCTACTCTTTCGTCCTAAATTTCTCGACAGATGGCTGCCAGTCGCCCAAGATGAGGAGACAATGGCTAGCAACAATCGGCCAGGTCGCCAGGGCAATCGTGGCGGTCAAGGACCCGCAACGAATGGTATTCGACGTGATGAAGTTAGCAAAAGTTGTGTGATAGAACAAAATCAAATGACAACAACACAGGTGACAAATGTGTAGCACAAAGTGAAACAACAACAACAACTGCTAATCAGGCCGGCAAGAACAACAGTCATGGCGCCAGAAGCCAAGCAGAAAAACCGCGTTGCCGCAGATGATAAAACAGCGACGGCCGCAGCAGCTAATGTAGATTTAGTTTTATGTCCCGTACAAGATAAGTCTAGTAGTAATAGGATTCTAGTTGATAATACCAAGTGTCAAACACATAAACCAGAAAATATGCTAGTAGTTAGGGAGGAGGAGGAACCAGTATGTGACAGTGAAAAAAATTATTCCACTGAGGATGCTGACAATGAAAATGACTGCAACCCTAAAGTCAAACGAAAACAAAGAACGCCCCGCAGATGGCTGAGCAAATCATCTTCTGCATCTGCTACTTCGTCTACACTACTAAGCTGTATAATATGTAATCTTAAACGACATCATAGTTTAAAACACCAGCCAGGAGGGCAACATTTGTTAGGTTTCAATCCGCCACCAGTGGCCACAAATGTGACAACGATAACCACAAATACAACCAATAGTAATCCTTTGACCCAACCTGCTGTTGTTGTGGTCATGGCAAAGGACTCGTCTGCGGATCATCAAGTTTATGTGACACACTTAGCGTCTCAATGCGATGAAAAGGATGTGGAAGCGCTTGAGAGGGGGTCATGGCAACAGCACAGCTGTAATGTTTAAAGTTGCCATAACAACGACTAAAACGACACAAAGCTTCCCCGTATCATTGTTGCTGTCATTATTGGCATCGACAGAGGGTTAATGTTCCATTCTTTGTATGATGTTTTATTGTGTCACATGAAACATGTTGGCCCCCTTTGAGGGTACCAGTATTTCGGTACAATTTTTTTGTTTTTGAACACTTTTAACAACCCGTTTGGGAAACCCTTTCCATTACTCGACCGTACGTGTGGGTTTATTCAGTTTCTTGATAATGAAAAGTGATATTTTATTATGATTTTTCATAAAATCTCAAGCATGATTTCATCAAAGATAAGGGTTAATAAAACTCGGGTATGTGATTATTTATTCATAATTTTGTTTTCATTAAATATTTTGGAATATTTATGGGTGGACTGTGTGAGAAGAAAGGGGTAAACGCACGTGGAATCAAAATGAACTCTCTGTGCTGAATGTACTTAACCAGCAACATTTTATGGAAGTGATTTTATATAATTTTATGATTTCATTTGATGAAGTTTTGAAACATCTAATTTTTTTTTCAATATTTGAACCAATTTCTTGAATGTTAAAAAAAATTTTTTATTTATTTATTTTATTTTTTTTTTTTTGTAAACATATTCAATTAAATGAAATATCAAATATTGGTAAAAATATGACAACGGTTTTCTTGAATATTGTGAAAAATGTTGTCCATTCGGAATGAAGTTTCTTATCTAAGAAGAGCCATGAAGAGCCGAAATTTAAATATTGCTACCATATATAACTACCCCAGATTTCATGGTTAATGCGCACTAAATGCTCTTGTCATACTCTTGTCTCAAAATTTTCTTAGGTTTTTTCAAAATTGCAAATATTTTTCTAAGGATAAGTGAGAAGTGGGCTGGGCTGACTATATCACACCCATCACCACTCTTGAGTAAAACATTCGAATCTGAATTCGGTCGCATGTCTCAAAATTCATCATAATTGAGAAAATGTAGCGCTTTAGTAATAAACATGATCGTGAATTTCCTAGACATATTTTCAAAGAACCTGACCAAAAAAATTGATTTTTTAAAACAAGTCACTTCTGAGCCAAAATAGTTGATATTTTAAAAATATTTTCTAAGGCACAAAACTTTTATCCCAAAATTATTAATTTTAAAGAAATGAATATCTTTTATCATTTTTATATAAAAAAGGGTGGGGTCTTCAAGAAAAAAAGGAATAGAGATTTCAAAAGAATTGTTAAGAATTGTTTTTTTTTCGAATTGATCAAAAATCTTGAATTAAAAAAAAATTATTTAAAAATATGATATTTTGTTGTTGCAAAATGGTCAGGCTTTATCCCTTTATTGTTGTTTTATAAATCAACATTTGTTTATTAGTGGAGAACGATGGTAATGTTTACCAGGGGGTAAGGCAGGGAATACCTAGGTTTCGGAAAGAGCCACCAATCCTCATCAGTTCCCTTGTTTTTTGTCTGGGATATTCTCCCAAGAAGTTATTTTAAAAAAAACTTCTATGACAAACAATATTTTTTACCCAAGTGACGAGATCGTAAGCCCAATAGAAGAGAACCAAAGAATTAAATAAAACTAAAATTCTTTTGAAAAGTCTTCTAAATCTTACAACCGCACTTATAAACATTTACATCTTTCTCCACTTGTTATGCTTTCGTTCAACCTAAACAAAGGAACTGATGAGGATGGGTGGCTCTTTCCGAAACCTAGGTATTCCCTGCCTTACCCCCTGGTAAACATTATCATCTTTCTAAACTAATAAACAAATGTTGTTTTTATAAAAAACAACAATAAAGGGATAAAATCTGACTATTTTGCAGCAACAAAATACTACGGTATTCCGAACAACAAGCCAACACTGTTGCAATATGATATTGTTTTAATCTCAATCTCTTTCCGATCAAAAATTATTAATTTTTTGAAATCATTGAGTGGATCCTGATTTTTCGATCGTATATAATCTATAAGACATATAAAAACAAGTAAAAAGCTGTAAGTTAGGCCCGATCGATCTTTGAATACCCTCCGCTATTTGGAACGATTTTGACAATTTTCAAAATAAATTAAAATTCGTTAAAAATTCTGTTAAAATCTTAAAAATACCGAATTTATATTAGGGTCTATACGACGACGTGGACCAGCATAGGCTACTTTTGTCATAAACCATTACAATATTTAAATGCGAAACTTGAATAATAAACATCAGTGAATAATGTAGCTAAAATCATCAAAATACCGAATATAGGGAGGTATCGTTATATTGGGGCTATATGAAGACGTGGACGTGGACATAGACAATTTTTTGTCTTAGGCTGATGCATTCACTACAAATTTTAAGCATCAAATTTGAAACAATTCCGGTGAATAATGTCACTAAAATCATCAAGATACCGAATATCGGGTGGTACCGTTACACGGGGGCTATATGAAGACGTGGACCTGCGCGGACAATTTTCTGTCATAGGCTGTAGAATCCATTACGAACTTCAAATACCAAATTTGAAACAATTCCGGGGAATAATGTCGCTTAAATCACCAAAATACCGAAAATAGGCAGGTACCATTATATGGGGGCTATACCAAAACGCGGACCTACATGGCACATTTTCAATACCAAAAGTCCTGCAGACATAATACACATTTCAGAAAAATCTTATCAACCTACTTCATTTCGTTCGGAAGCTATAGTGATTTCCACAGACGGGCGGACATCGTTAAATCGACATAGAATTTTATGCTGATCGAGAACATATTTGTAGGGTCTAAAATGTATATTTCGAGGTGTTACAAACGGAATGACAAACTTAATATACCCTCCATACTATGATGGAGGGTATAATAAATTATGGGCTTTCTTACCAATAAATGGAGATTTCAAGGATGCCAATGCCCATTTTCAATAAACATGTAAGGTTTTTGTAACAAAATATTTTCAAGGACATTGAATCTAAAAATCGTATAGTTAAGAACACTTTTCAAATCAAAAATCTTGTATATTTTAAGCATACGTTTTACAAAACAAAAATTATGTGTTTTTTTTTTTTTTTTTGATCTTTTGACTGAAAATCAAGCAATTTTTCAAATAATTTTAAAGATATCTTTAGAAATAACCCTAATTTTTTTGGGAAAAATTCTACTACATTCTGACTAAAGCAAATCAAGGACGTCAGACCAAAAATAGTAAAATAAGAATGTTCTTTCACTGACCTTTTGAAAATATTTGTTATATAATTAGAAAAAGGATTTAATGATTTCTCCACTCTACACCACAAAGTGGTAAAGGTATTATGTATGCTTGCATTTGATTTTTCTGAGATTATTTATACATACCCGTCCGTCCGTTGGTCCGTGTATTTTTGTGAACAAAATGCAGGTCGAATTTATTATCCGATTGAGATGAAATTTTGCAATTTGGCCCAAGGACGAACCCTATTGAAATTACTGATAATCCGATCAGATTTAGATTTGGCTTCCATATATCTTCAACCAATTTTGGGTTAATTGTGCACCAAATGGCCAATAACAGTCCAAATGACTTGCATTTTGGCATATCCGGCCGAATTTAATCTAAAAGCAAGTATATCAAATGTGAAAATCGTTTCAGAAATAGATATAACTCCCATATATATGCGTCATCCGATTTGTGGTTTTAAGTCCCTCACATGCGTAGTATGCAATCCAGAAGAATGATATTTGGTACCGGATAACTTATGGAGCCCAAAAATACTTCTGTCAAATTTTATTGTGATCGACTCGGATTAGGGTATAGCTTCCACATATATCTTTATCCCATATCAGGTTTATTGTGCACAAAATGGTCGGCCCAACTGGTCGGAATTTTGGCAATGCCGACTTAATGTATCCTAGAAAGTAGTACCTAAAATTTGTTGAAAATAGCTATAGCTCCCATACATAAGTTTCATCCGATTTGGGGGGCGTAAGTCCTTCATATGCGTAACATGCACTCCACAATGATATTTTATACCGGGCATAAAATACAGCTCGAAAATAACTCTGACAAATTTTATCGAGTTCAGAATTTTATGTAGCTTCAACATACATCTTCATCCGATTTTATGGTTATGGCAATCCATATTTGTAATATCAGCCGAAATTGAATAGATTTTTTCGTATGCAACCAAATTTTACCATTTTAATAAACATATCTTAATATAATCCCTATCGAAGTCGTATACTCACCGAATGCTTCTTCCTCCAAAAAGAAATTTTCCATCGCAAGATTTTGGTTCACAGTTTATTAGGATATATGTTCCGGTCGATTTTAAAGCACAGAAAAGGCAACTTGTGACCTCTA